TATGTAGATTGGGCATACGACACCTTCCATCCACTCTTCCGGTAATATCTCTTCCTCCCAAATGTTGACAATTACCCAGTGCAGCGCTCTAGCTGCTTCACCGCCGTATTTTAATAGCTTACTTGGTAGTTGATCTACACCAGATGCTTTGTTGTTTTTCAGCCGACCGATCTCCTTCTCAACTTCTTGAAGATCAGGGGTCGGTAGCCTGTCGTCTTCTGCGCGTGCTCCAAGGTCTGTTGCCGTGCCACCTTCGTTTTCTGCTGCTTCACCGTTGAGGTGCTCGTCATAGTACTGCTTCCACCTCTCAATCACCTCACACTCGTTCGTGAGAAGGTTACCGTCCAAGTCCTTGCACATATCGGCTTGCGGCACGTAGCTTTTCCGCAACTATTTAGCTTCTCGTAGAACTTCCAGATCTTCCATCGCTTCGCGATCTCGGTCTTCCTGCTGACGCTTCTTCCTTCGGAAAACCGAGTTTTGTCTGTATCGCTCCACATTCAATCTCGTGCGGTGTTGCAGCATTCTCGCCCGTGCTGCATTCTTCTCCTCTACTAACAGTTTGCATTCGCCGTCAAACCAGTCATTTCTTCGGTCCGGGATCGCAGTACTTAGTACCGTTGCAGCAGTACTACCTATGGCGGAACGTATGTTCCTCCAGCCATCTTCAAGAGTAGCTGCGCCAAGCTGTTCTACCGTGGGTCATGTAACTTCCAGCTGCTGCGCGTAGTCCTGGGCAACTTCGGCGTCCCGTAATTGCTCAATGTTGGGTCGCAACATTCGACTTTGACGGGTGTTATGAACCGTCGAGAGTTTTGAGTGCATGCATACTGCAACTCGGTAGTGGTCCGAATCTATGTTCGCACTGCGTTGGCGAAGAATTTCTCCTCGATTAGAACGTGATCGATTTGGTTTTCTGTGTGTTGGTCAGGTCATCTCCAGTTGGCTTTGTGGATATCCTTGCGGGGGAAAATGTACTTCGGACTACCATACCTCGAAAAGGGGGCAAATTTCACGCATCGTTGGCCGTTGTTGTTCGATACGGCATGCAGTCTGTTTGGTCTGTACATTACTTCCCGTCCTACCTGCCGTCGTACACCTGCTCCAGCTTCGCATAGAGCGCTTCTTTCTCGTCGTCGGGTCTCCCTTCGTGTGGACAGTGCACGTTGATGATGCTGTAGTTGAAGAAACGGCCTCGCGTTGATTGGCTGCCAACCAATCACACGTTGGCGCATCTTACCCAGCACTACAAAGTCGGTTCCCAGCTCGTTGGTGGTGCCACAGCTCTGGTAGAAAGTAGCCGATGGATGCCCGCTTTTCCATACCTTTTGTCACGTCCAGCAAAGTTCCTGCAGTGCTACGACTTCGAAGTTGCGTGGTTGAAGCTCGTCATAGATTAACCTAGCCGAGCGATTTGCAGTTCCATGTTCCGAGTTTCCAATCGTAGTCCTTATTTCTTCGCGTAGGTATGAGCTGATTGTTCCGATCCGTATTTCTTTCTTCGGTATTTGCAACTTTATGTTTTTCCAGGGTGGCTTGTTCGGCCTGCCCCAACCCCCTGTCTCGCCGGGGGACCATCGTGCACAGCTCTGTTTAGAGTCCCACGCTGGCACTAGGACATTGATCAGTCGCTCCTAACATGGAGAACAGACGCCGTTTTGAGCTGCACTTCCATGGTGAACAGACGCTTAACATCTTGACATCTTAAAACTAAAAACGAAAACTTAATCTTATCTAAGTATAAAGGGAATTCATCGTTGCAATTGAGGAGTGCAACGATTTTTGCCTGAAATGATTAATTATTTTGTTGGACATTTGTTCTAAAGTCTCAACTTTCGAAATTCTATGTACCTCGGGAGAACTGTTCCACGAAGGCAACTTCAAAGTCATCTTCGGAGTTTTATTCTGAATCATTTGAGGTGTTTTTTTTTCTGGTATAACTAAAAACCTGTATGAATATCGAGATGAATATTAAAAGTTTATTATTCAGGTTGAGTTTGGATTTTCGGTTTATGAGAGGATACAAACATTTTATTTATTTGTTATATTTGGCATGGATGTCCTCAATGTGATCTTCAAAATTTAATCTTTGATCAAGTACTAATTTAAGATATTTCACTTGACTTGACCAAGAAATTGGAACTACGTTCAAAGTGACTATGCGACTACTATTAGGTTTCAAAAAGGAAGCTCTGGGCTTATGAGGGAATATTATAAGTTGAGTTTTGGAAGCGTTGGGAGAAATCATCAATTTTTGTAAATAAGAAGAGAAAATATCTAAGCTTTTCTGCAGTCTGCTGCAAATAACACGAAGACTTCTTCCTTTTAGCGGAAATGCCTGTGTCATCAGCGAACAAAGATTTGTGGCAACCCTGAGGCAAATCAGGGAGGTCCGAAGTGAAAATGTTATACAATATAGGCCCAAGAATGCTACCCTGAGGAACTCCTGCTCTAACAGGTAGTCGATTAGATTTGGAATTTTGATAATTTACCTGCAGAGTTTTGTCAGTTAAATAATTCTGAACTAATTTCATAATGTAAAGTGGAAAATTTAACTTTTTCAATTTAGCAATCAAACCTTCATGCCAAACACTGTCGAATGCTTTTTCTATGTCTAGAAGAGCAACTCCAGTTGAGCAGCCTTCAGATTTGTTTGAACGAATTAAATTGGTAACTCTTAAGAGTTGAATGCCCATGGCGAAATCCAAACTGCTCATCTGCAAAAATTGAGTTCGCATTGATGTGAAGTATCATTCTATTTAAAATTATTTTTTCAAACAGTTAACTTATTGAATAAAGCAAACTTATTGGACGGTAGCTAGAAGCTTCAGCTGGATTTTTATCCGCCTTTAAAATTGGAACAACTTCTGCATTTTTCCATTTATCAGGAAAGTATGCCAAATGGAAACAATGGTTACATAATTTTACCAAGAAAGACAAGGTACTCTCTGGGAGTTTTTTGATGAGGATATAGAAAATTCCATCATTACCTGGAGCATTCATATTTTGAAACTTTTTAGTTATAGACCTTACTTCGTCCAAATCAGTCCCCCAGGAATCATCAAAAATATTTTCCCGAATTGCTTAGCAAGTTTCTGAGCTTTTTCCAAATTTGTGATCAAAATTTTACCACCTTCTTTAAGCGCTGGAATAGGCTTTTGAGGTTTTTTAAAATTTTTTGTGAATTTCCAAAAGGGTTTAATTTAGAATCATTATTTTCAAAAGTTTTGTTCCTCAGGGCAGATAATCGCTTTTTAATTTGTTTTTGCAAATCCCGCCAGATAACATTCATGGCAGGATCGCGTGTTCTTTGATATTGTCTCCTACGGACATTTTTAAGACGGATCAAGAGCTGAAGATTGTCGTCTATTATAATTGAATCGAATTTAACCTCGCATTTTGGTACTGAGGCACCTCTTGCTTCAACTATAGAAGTAGTCAGAGATTCAAGAGCATAATTAATTTCATCTTTGGTTTGCAAAGGAATGTTGGAATCGAAGTTATATTCCATAAATGTTCGATATTGCTCCCAATCAGCTCTTTGGTAATTGAAAGTAGAGCTGTTGGGATTACAAATTATTTCTTGGGATATTTCAAAAGCTACTGGAAGGTGATCAGAACTGAAGTCAGCATGGGTAACCAATTGGCTACAAAGTTGACATGAATCAATATTCTTATATTACCATAGTAGTACCATAGAGGCAACTCTAAGACCAGAAGGTTCCGAAGAAACGTGCTCAACTTTTTGGCTCAGCTCTGGTACTTTCTTCGGTTCCAAGCTAATCGATGCACCCCTCGAAGCATAGAAAATTCCACGAACCCCCTCATTTTATTTGTCAAAATTTCATAGCGAATCAAAACAAACATAGTGTACAGGGTGATTCGGAATAACTGTCACTTTTAAAAATGTTCATAACGATTGAACGCTTGCATGAATTTTAGATATCAGTATATTCCAGATATACTACATATATAACCTTCAAGTAAGCATACTTTAATTCAAATCTCTCTCCCTTTACTTTTAATTACCAGCCACTTTTGTCTCGAAAATGAACCACGGCTGGCACGCACGTTTTAGTTCCAGCACTTTTGGAGTCCTGGCGATGGGTCTAAGCTCTGATATTGAACAGATTTTCCACGCATGGTCGCTTTTTACTTCTTTAACGATGTGAAAAATAAATGTTTAATTCTTTCGAAGAGATTTCAGTTTCTAAAAGATAACACACAAAATTATACAGATTTATAACATGCTTCATTTTCACGTTCATGGCTGCTTGAAATCAAAAACGAATGAAATTTCAAATCCTATTATCAATACAAGCTGATATTTGTTCACACTTTAAAACAAAAATACTTGAACATATACCCATTTTACCCATTGAGAATTGCATATTTGTGAAATCGGTGATAGTTATTCTGAATCACCCTGTAGTACTAAAATTTTGACTAGAATGGGGTACGTTCAACGATGTACTTGGGGCTAGAGATGCCAGATTTACAGACATGTCTGTGAATTTACAGACTTTTATTTTTCACAGACATTTTTTTTTTTGTTACAGACATTTGCAGACTTTTTAGTTTTTTCACAGATATTTACAGTCTTTTGTAATCAAGGGAATTTTTTAAATTTATTTGGTTACACTGTTTGACATCTTCACGCATTAGAAATTCGCGCGTTTTCAAATCCACCACACGAACGAGCTGTCACTGTTATAGACGGTCATAGTTAGAGACCTGTCAATGTGCTTCCATGTTGTGTCCCATACGAACATTTAATTTTTTTCCATACGATTTGACGGTTTGTTTTCATCCTATTCCATCTTTTTATTCAACCACCGAATGCAGTTTTCAAAATAGCCATTTTCGCCGTTTTGTACCTGACTAAGAGTCGTAAAAATGATGATAAAAAGGAGAAAAATCGAAGAGAGCGAATTTTCCGAAGAATCAGGTAAGCTATAAGTTATGTTTGTTTAATTTCTGAGTCTAAGCATTAAATTTGTGTAGGCACTGCTGGTTCCGATGCTTTATCCAAAACCGCTGGTCAGAATCAATCCATCGATGATCCGATTCAATCCACCGGTGGTCCAAGTCAATCTACCGGTGGTCCAAGTCAATCCGTTACTCCACAATCAACTTCACAATCTGACTATCATCATGCAGGCGGCTCCCGTAAGTGTATACAGTTGTATTTTAGAACCACGTTTATTTTATTATTTGTATCATTTGTTTATAGACTCAGATGGTTCAAATCAATCTGCTGCGCCACCATCGACTGTTGGTCTGAGTCGATCCGAATCTGGGCCAAGTTCAGCCACCGATAGCCCGACAATTGTCAATACCGCTGGTCCGAGTTCAAGTCGCTCCACCGCTCACCATTACGTACCACGTTCACGTAAGTTAAATTTAAAATTTAATCATGCGTAGCGGCCCAATCAGCGTGTGTGACCTTAAGGGGGAAATCCAAAAAAATATTAAACAAAAACGAAGGAGGGGGAATAGCTCTAATATTGGGCCCATGGATCTAATATTGGGCCCATCGCTAAAAATCTAATATTTATCAATTTTATCTAGATTATTGCGTCATTGGGGCGGTACTAATGGATATTTTTGGTTGCTATTGAAAATTTATTCGAATGCTGAATTTATGTATGGGCCCAAATTAGGGGCATTTAGGCCGAAATTACATCCATTTCCCCTATGTCACAAATTTGTTTTAACAAGATGAAAAAACCATACATTGTCAGGGATTTTTCTATTGTTTTTGGTCTACATTCAACTGCATGTAACATTTTTTTACAACCGATATGACCCCTGGGTGACCTTGGAGTCAAATAAATAAATTTCAATGAGGTTTTATGGAAAATCAAAATAAATTCTTTCACTAATTGAGTAGCATGTGATTTGAGGTACCGTACGATGCATTTCGGCGCTTGTCAGAATTTGTCCACTTTCCGGGGGTACCTGGTACATCTTTCTTTGCCATTGTGATCATTGGGTCTGAATATGTTCACCATTGATGTTATAGTAAAATTTTAATGTGATTTGAGGTGTCGCATGATGAGTTTTTGATATATCAATCTTTTGCGAATTTCCCAGTGCAATCTGGAATTCTCATTTTTGTTTATATCTTCGGAACCATAATTCCGATCGGGAAAAATCAAACCCTGATTCTTATTCATCAACATTTTTTTTAGCACGAAGTGTTTAGAATCGTATTAATATGCTTGTAAATCGCTCTTTTGATTGTCAATTTCTCCATATTAAGGTGGTGGAAAGTTGAATTTCTCACTAACATATGCTCCTTCTCCCGCTGCTGGCGTGCAAAAGGCCAGTACTAAGTAATTTACGGATTTCCACACTACATGGCATATAAGATCGACTCAAATTTAATATTAAATTACTCAAACTCTAGAAAACGTCGTTTACTTGTAGACTGAGTAAAATTTTCCGAGCCTCATAAATCTTTTCGAATATGAGAAAAATCGACGAAAAATTTACTCACGCTACAAGTAGGGTAGAGCACTACTTCCTCGTAATCGCCCATTTCCGTTCTATCTATCATAAAATATCAATCATATCAATGATTTCATCATGCACAAGTCAATAATAGAACAGCGCCGGTGGTGTAGTGGTAAGCGTGATTACCTCTCACCCCAACTGTCCTGGGTTCAATCCCAGTCAGCGCCGCCGGGATGTTCTGAGGCATAACATCTCTGATCACGCCTTCCTTCGGATGGGAAGTAAAGCCGTTGGTCTCCGGTTCATGAGTTTGATGGGTCGATAGGTAGGGTCCAGGTGTGGGAGCTGCCTTCCTGGCACGTCGGTAGCATTGGTGCTCAGCACGGAAAACAAGATCGACGGAAAAAACAAACCAAAGGAAAAAAAAGTCAATAATAGGTTTGTTCCGATGCGTTAGTTCATTAGCTACATCATAAATCCCATTAGAGCGCATTTTATGAAAATTTACACTCATTGTTCTCAAAAAATAAGAAGCGCTCATAGCTATTCCCCTTATTCTACGTTTATCCGTAGGACGAAGAAAATCTAATGGCGTTTCAATTTAGGACGGATCTATTTGCTTTTTGCTGAAGGAAGTGATACTAGGGGTTTTGATTTAATTTCCGTCATACTAAGCACAACCCACGCTTTATCTCTCTTTTTTGAACGAGTTTGAACGAAAAATGGAATATTTTTGTCAAAGATGATTTCTAAATTTATTCACCTTTCCATACGTACCGTTGGATTTGATAAAGAGTCACAAATTGTTGAGATATTGTTTAAAATCTAATACTGCTTCTTGATTCTAAATTCGTTCTATGAGTTTCAATTCCGACCTAACGCATTGAAACGCCATTATATTTCCTTCGTCCTACGGATAAACATAGGAAAAGGGGATTCGCTTGGAGCGCTTCTTTTGTTTTGAGAACAATGAGCGTTAATATTCATATAATGCGCTCTAACAGGGTTTACGTTGTAGCTAATGAACTAACGCATCGGCACAAACCAATTATTGATTTGTGCATGGTGAAATCATTGATATTATCGATCTTTTCTGATCGATAGAACGGAAATGGGCGATTACTATGAAGTAGTTCTCTACCCTACTACCTAAAGCTACAATAAATTTTAACAGCACTTTTCAGTGCCCAATAAACCTATAAATTTTCTACCTTGTTCAACTCTTATTCCTCTTCGATCCTTGTTTGGACCCTACCCGAGGTAATCCTTCTTTGACATCGATTTGGAAAATTCCTCTACGACCCTTCAGATTCTTATAGTAATCTGCTTGGAATTCGATCTGGATACAAATTTACTGCCGCCATGGCGTCTAAGCGCAAAAGAAAAGGGCAAACTCTTGATCCCCCTTCTGATGAAATTAATTTGAGCAATCAATTTGATTTGCTCACGGATGATGAGAATGATCCATCATCCAGAAAAAAATTCTAATAAACTTTCCCGGCTTAATTCCAAGAAGGAAAAGATTCCCCCTATTGTGATAACCACTTCCGATTTCCATGCTCTTCGCATGGAACTTTTGAACTTCGTGAAAGTAAAGTTTCCACTACAAATTGGACGTCGGGGTGAATGCCGTGTATTGGCTGAAATCTTAAACGGATTTAAATGTCTTCTCAAGTATCTTACTGAGAAGCAGCACATTTTTTTTATTTACGACACAAAAACTGAACTTGTTTTCAAGGTTGTCATAAAAGGACTGCCAGTGGTGAATCCCTGGATCAGATCAAAGATGAACTGGTAAAATACTACATGGAGTTGTGCCACTCCAAGTAATCAAAATGAAAATGAAATCCCGTCCTGGCAATTCGCGCAACGGGATTTCCATTGATTTTTATTTAGTTCACTTCAAGTTTAGTGAACTAAACAACCTTAAGGGCTGGGAAAATGCTAGCCTTATGCTCCATGTCCGAGTGAAGTGGGAACACTTCAGGAAGACTAGAAGAACTTTCCAAAACCTCACCCAGTGCCATAAGTGCCAGGGATGGGTCCAGGAACTAAAAGTTGCTACATGCCAGCTAAATGCATGAATTGTGGTGATTCCTCTCACGCAATGGACGACTGTCCTGTGAAGGAAGATCCGAAGAAATTCAAGTGTTCAAATTGTGGTGAAAATCACAAATCCAATTTTTGAGAATGTAAGACTCGCAAAGCGATCCTAAATCTCGTTCTCAGTGACAGGTAGAAAACGCTCCACGTTTCCGAACATTTACTTATTACTCTGCGGTTAATAACGGTCAGCGAGGAACAAATTCTACATTCGTATATATCACCCCTGCTTCAAATTTTTCATCTATACCATTGCTGCTAACAATGTTCAGCGAGTTAATGGAGCTACCTATGCTGCCATTGCAGCGGGTAGAAATCAAAATACTAACCAACGCAATTCTAACGAAAATTTTAAAAATTTTGACTTAGGAAGCATTACTGCTCCTAAAATGGAATTTTTGCAGAAATCATTAATTGACATGATTACTGATATGCTCAAATCTAACTTCATGTTTGATGCTATTCAAACTGGAGTAAAATTTGCAAACAATTTTATAATGACTTTGAAATTCAGTAATGGATTTTAAAGCATTAAATATTTTAAATTAGAATGCTCGATCTCTTAAAGATAATGAAGACGAGTTATTTAACTTTTTGAGAGTTCATAACGTGCATATTTCCGTTATAACTGAAACGGTCCTTAAACCTGACCATAAGGTTAAAAGTTACGCAAAATATTTCATTTATAGCCTGTGGCGTTACCATCATTGTACATAGACGAATCAAACATAAAATTCTTTCTTCATTTGAAACCAAAGTTTTTGGAACTTTGGGAGTTTCTGTTGAAACAAAATTTGGACAACTTATGTTTATAGCTACCTATTTGCCATTCAAATTCGTAGAACAGCAAAAGAATTTTCTCAAGGGTGACCTCCAGAAACTTACCCGTCATAGGTCTAAATTCATCATTATTGGTGATTTTAATACAAAACACCGCTCATAATACTCAAAGCAATTCCAATGGTAATATTCTGTTTGATGATTGTTCTGCAGGTTATTACACTATTCAATATCCAAACAGCCCAACATGCTTTTATTTCAGCAAGAAATCCCTCAACTATTGATTTGGTCTTAACTGATTCATGTCAACTTTGTAGCCAATTGGTTACTCATGCTGACTTCGGTTCTGATCACCTTCCAGTAGCTTTTAAAATATCCTAAGAAATAATTTGTAATCCCAACAGCTCTACTTTCAATTACCATAGAGCTGATTGGGAGCAGTATCGAACATTTATGGAAGATAACTTCGATGCAAACATTCCTTTGCAAACCAAAGATGAAATTAATTATCCCCTTGAATCTCTAACAACTTCCATAGTTGAAGCAAGAGCTGCCTCAGCACCAAAATGAAAAACCTCCCTGACGTCGCTAAGAGGCGCATGTTGAACTTGTACAATCAGTTCTTGGAGCTCAATATTGTTCCCGACGATTGGAGACGAGTAAGGGTGATAGCCATTAAAAAGCCTGATAAACCCGCGTCGGATCACAATTCGTATCGGCCCATCGCGATGCTGTCGTGCATTCGGAAATTGATGGAGAAAATGATCCTTTTTCGCCTCGACAAATGGGTTGAGACGAGCCACCTTCTTTCAGATACTCAATTTGGTTTCCGTAGGGGTAAGGGAACGAACGACTGTCTCGCGTTGCTTTCCTCGGAAATTCAGTTGGCTTTTGCTAAGAAAGAGCAAATGGCTTCTGTGTTCTTGGATTCAAGGGGCTTTTGATTCAGTATCCGTTGAAGTTCTTTCAGAGAAACTCCACGTTAATGGAGACAATGAATAATTTTTTGTACAATTTGCTGTCAGAAAAACATATGAGCTTTTCTCATGG